AGAAAATGGAAACTACTATGATCTTGTAGGGATTTATAACTAACTTCATTCTCTCCAGGCTGCGAACTACTACATCACGGAATATCACTGCTCGAGCATTAATGTAGACCCATGATTAATAAAACCCCCTCCCTTTAAAGGCCTTAATATATGGATGCCTATCATACACCCTAAACCCTAAACCCTAAACCCTGTACCCTAAACCTTATTAAGGGGAGGGGGTTTATTCATAAGGGGTCTACATCAGTCACACCAGCACTCAGATCGAGGCACTGATCGTACCACCTCGAGGTGCCCACCGTCAGCGGCCGCGAAGAGTGGGGTGCGGCCCTGCTCGTCCGCCTTCTGGGCGTCGGCCCCGCTCTGGAGCAACCTGAGTTGCTGCTAAGGAACTTCATCTAAGTTACTCTATTGGGGAAGTCCTATTGACTAGTATATATATATATACAATTGTATATATATATATATCCGTTATGGTATTCATGGTAACTTAATTTAGGTTCCTTAACAGCAACCCGGCAACATACACACCACCGTGCGGTGCCCGAACTCCGCTGCACTGAAGAGCGGGGTTCGGCCCCGCAGATCCTCGAAGTCTGCCTCTGCTCCTGCCTCCAGGAGTGAGCAAACGACAGCCAAATGTCCTCTTTCCTGGGTTCTTGTTGAAATACTATGAAAAAAGATCATTCTTAATCTATATTGGGCCCAGGTATACATAAAAATGTAAAATGTTATTCAACAAGAACCCAGTTTCTGAGGCGATCATCAAAGGCGTCCTCCTGTACCGGTCGGCCTTGTCCACCAAGGCGTTTGCTAAAAGCAAACTGCAGACAGAGGTAAGACGACCATGGTCTGCAGCAACGAAGAGCGGGCTGCGGCCAACCAGGTCACACTTCTCGCAATCTGCACTGGAGGCCAGGAGGCACCTAGGAGACACAGCCACTCTGCTAGAGCAGCTAGGGCTTGGTGGGTCGGGCTTTAAAGAAAAGTCGTAGCATGCTTAAGGGGTCTTTCCAAAGCGCTGAAGGATCTCCAGATGACCCCTCCATGCAGCAGCATAGAGGGGGCTGCACCCGTCCTTCCTGGCAATGTCCAGATTTGCTCCAGCATCCAGCATGATGTGGACAATATCCTGGGTTGATGCGAGGGAACTTAACTTAAGTTACCATAATGGGTATGCGTATATGTATATAAACAAATATATATATATATGTATATATATATAAGTTCCTTAAACCCGTATATTACCCCAGTTTCCATTTCATTGTCCGTGATCTTTTCCATTTGGTGCTCCATTATAGGGGGAGAATATAGTAACTTAAATCAAGTTATCTAACAGCAACCCTAAACCCTCAACCCCTGTTTCCGTTTCATTTTCCATGTTATCCATTTAGTTCTCCATTATTGGGGTGTTAATATGATGGCAACCCAGTATCTAGATGGCCTGCCGCAGAGGCTTTCCAAAGGGCAGTTTCTCCGTTCGCATCCACCGAGTTTGGATCCTGGCATTTTCTCAGGAGCTCGGTGACACGACAGGCATGGCCTTCAGCTGCTGACTGCAGGAACTCATCGCGGAAGCTGTCCACGAGGCTCTGGAAGGCTACTTTCACTATGCTAGGCCTGCCCAGCCCTTCCCAGGAACAGCTCTCATCAGCATTGATGACCCTGTCTTCAACCAGCAGCAGCTGCCGAAAGCTTGACATGCCAGTCTTCGAGCAGAGGAGATGCTTCAACTCGTTGACGAAGTCAGAGGCAGTCAAGTCTTCACCCAGATGTACTTCCAGGAGGCAAGACCCAGACACAGCCGACAGGACCTGGAGAAAAAAACATGCCAAATATAACCGCTACATAACCCCCATCTACCCCCTATATAACCCCCAAAAAAACCCTATGTAACTCCTATATAACCCCTAAACCCCAGAGGGGGGCCTGGATCAAAGACATGCCAGAAGGAGGTGCCCAGCTGCTTGCCAAGCTGTCCCTCACTGCAGATACAGTCCCTGTCTAGCCATTGCCCTGCGATGAAAATGGCTGCGTCAGCTCATGCTACAGGCTCCCTGTAAGCCGAAGATCCTGGCATGCATGCTGTGCAAGATCTTTGTTGCTATTATGGGGGATATATGAGTGTTATATAGGGGTTATATAGGGAGTATGGCAAAGAAAATGGAAACTACCCATTTAGGCCGAATTTCTCCACAGACTGCAGATGGTCTTTTGAGGCAGTGGCCTGACGTCATCTTGAAGCAGCCATGTGTTGCAAAGATACAACCCTGGCTAAACTCCTAGTATCCCCCTAGATAACCGCTACAGTAGTCCCCTATATAATCCCCCATACAACCCCCGCTTTCAGGAGTTTAGACTGTAGCTCATATAACCCTAAACTCTAAACCACAGCGATGATCCACAGCACTCCACAGGCGCGTTAGCAAGCAAATCCCCCGCCTGGCATCTGCAGCTCTTTCTGCCTTTGAAATTGTGGCTAGCTGCTACCCAGACCCCTGGGAAGATCTAGAAAGTAGAACCTCCAATATGGTACCCTATACTATGATTGGGTAATTTCTAGGAACCCCTTAGGGGGGATCTACTTTCTAGATCCGCCCAGGATTCTGGGTCGCCGTTCTGCTTTGAACCCCATGCCCCACATGCTAGTTTCATCGAAATCCTGCCAAGCTCCCATCAGAACCCAGTACTATCAAGCTTTGTCCTATGTTTTTTTGTCTCCAGCTGCGCCATCGCTTTCCTCCCTCCGAAGGCAGCTTGAGATGCACCTTTTGGTGCGAACATCTTAACCCCTCACAAGCGTGGAACTATTCGAAGGCTTTTCACCATGCGATGGCCCCCGAGGTGCAGCTCACTTAGCAGAGACGTTTCCAACTGGGCAAGCTGCAGAGCTGAAACCTCCTTCCAGTCACCATTTGTGTCAAGAAGTGCCTCCAGGTGCACATCGGGTCCCGCACGTCGACCGACCAGCTGTTGCAGCGCCGGCTGCACCTTCAATCCTTTCAAGGGAACTGTCTTGAGGGCCTCCGTCAGCGCTGCGCTGAAGTCCTGCAAGTCTTGCTTTGGAAGCTGCATGTCCAGAAGTTCTGCAATAGACCTTCGACCTATTCCCCAAGCAATTCGGATGATGACAGCAGAAACCAGGGCACCAGCGACAGGGTCGCAGGCGCTGTGGACAAAGATCCTACCAAGCAGGCCTACAAGGACAACGCCCGAACTGAAAGCATCACTCCGATGGTGCCAGGCGTTGGCGAGCAGCACGGAACTATGCAACCGGTCAGCTGCACGGCGTGTGATGTGGTAGAGTCCCTCCTTACCAGCGATTGTAGCTAGGCAGGTCCCCACCGCCACTTGATTCACGTGGCCATCCTCCAAGATCGGAAGGCCGTGCGTGTGGCCATGAGAGTGGTGGGAGTGGCCGTGTTCGTGATGCTCATGGCCCTCGTCTTTCACTTCGATGTCAACGTCCGCCATGGCTTCCAGGAACAAGTTGGTGGAGAAGCGCATGGCGGAGAAGCCGGTGGTCATCATGATGCCCGACACACCCATAGCAGCCAACGAGTCCATCTTTCCACGTCCAAATGGAAATTGGGCAGTGGGTGGCCCGATGGCCATCTGGACCACACAGAGAGTGATGATGTCAGACAAGGAATCCGTCAAGGTGTGAAAAGCATCGCTGGTAAGGGCCGCCGACTTGCAATAGCCACCAGCAAAATACTGAAGCACTCCCAGTAAACAGTTGAAGCTGAATCCCAATAAGCTCACCTTGATGGCCTCACCTTTTAGCTCTGACATATCTGCACTATGGCTGTGATCATGGCAACCTAAGACATGCAAGTGTCCCTGGTGACCTTGTTGCGCATGGCCTTGGTGTCCAGGCTGGTCATGGTGATGATGACCATGGTGGCCATGATGGCCGTGATGGCCGTGGTGGCCGTGGTGGCCGTGGTGGCCATGGGCTTTGGGGTCCTGGTGACTGTGGCTGTGTCCGTGGGACTTGCCCTTGCCGTCGGTACCGTGGCTGTGAGAGCGAAGACCGCCATGATGGCTATCACGGTGCACGCTCGTGGTGCAAAGAACACGTGACCAGCTGTGACCCGGTTGGATACCTGGCTTCAGCTTTTTCAGAGCATGTCTCACGGCGGAAGACATCACGCTGGCCGCATTTGCATGGGCGGTGGACAGCTGCGGAACCGCTCAAACATTGCCAGCTGACTTTACTAGCTTGGAACACATCACATAAATGATGCTAGACTAGATGTCACCTGCCGACCTCAAAGCATGTCCACAATCAAAACACAGCCGAGACAGATAAAGACAAGAAACATGCAGACCCCAAAATCTCAAAGTCCGAGATGCTCTTGAGTTACCATGAGAAGTGATCAGCTTTGGAGCCCACATCACAGGAGAGCAAGCAAGTCAGCAAACCATGCAAACCCACAAGTGATTCATTGCTAGTAATCGGAACGAATCCATATGCAATGCATACGTCAGCCGCACAGGACAACACAACTTGCGGGTGCAGGTTCCTAAAGCCCAAAGCCTAAACCCCATGCCATAACCCAAAGCCCGGAACCGTTATTCGTGGATCTGAATCTTCCGATCGATTCCTTTGGATCACTTCAGCGGCTCGCTGCTGGCACCATTCCTTCTCATGAACGAAACTCCAAAACTCTACACCCTGCCTCAGTGGGCCACACGAGGACGAATTTCAGGCCTGATGACAGGTGCCCATCGGACTTAGGGAGCTATTGTTTCCGCGTTTAGTCATTAGGGCAGAGCTCTTCCGAGTTCAAAGCATATGCCCTCTCTCTACCCTGCTGCAAAGACCATGCATGCCCACGCGCTGTTGAGGGCTTAGTGTTTAGAGTTGAAAGCTTACGGACTTCCTGACCACGCTGTGCTTGGAAACAACATTGGCATCCCAAGCAAACCTACGGATACAGTTGGCAAGAAACTGGCCTTTGGTTAGCTAGGAATGAAGGAATGGATGGTTATAGCAACCCATTATGGGTTTAGGGTTTGGGGTTTGGGGATGTTTGAGGATGTTTAGGCATGCTTACAGTAGTCCCTGTATAGCCAGTATAACAGTTTCCATCTTCTTTTCCATTCCTTCACTCCCAGCTAACCAAAGGCCAGGAAACGCACCTCATGAACCTCCAAGGGTAACGTCACCCTAAACCCTGAACCCCTAAACCCTAAACCCTATACCCTAAACCCCCAAACCCTAAACCCTGAACTTCCCTCCGAAGCCCCCAATGGATGTGAGTGTTTCAACAATCATCCGACCACTGGCCCATGTTACCCATCCTCCACAGTCCACCTGAAAGCGCTGCAAACTTGCTGTCCATGGCAAGAACCAGCCCAGAATTGGAACAGCAAAGCAATCAGGAAAGCCTGATGTAGTAGTATAGCAGTATAGCAGTATAGCAGTATAGCAGTATGGCAGTATAGCAGTATAGTAGTATAGTAGTATAGTCGTATACTAGTATAGTAGTATAGTAGTATAGTAGTATAGTAGTATAGTAGTATAGTAGTATAGTAGTATAGTAGTATAGTAGTATAGTAGTATAGTAGTATAGTAGTATCGTAGTATAGTAGTATAGTAGTATAGTAGTATAGTAGTATAGTAGTAGCACAGTGCTATAGGATTTCAGATGACGGTTTTAAAGCAAACTTGTTAGATTCGGTAATGTGCGGCAATGATGTGTGTCTGAGGCTTGAGCGAAGCTGCAAAGCAGGCACCATGACTTCTCTGAGGCACAATTCAGAAAGGTCAAAGGCCCAGGAAGACAAGGACCGGATGTTCTTGACAAGCATGAAAACACTGTTCGATCGGAAGTGCCTTCTGAGGCCAAACTTGAAATCACCACTTTTCCGAAGGTGTGCCGATTGGGCAGGCAGTGAACTCACAATCCAAACACGGGACGGCATGGGACCCATCTTGAAACAATGACGTGGGGGAAGTGGGCAATAATCCCTCCCCCTAATATTGAACCCCCCCACCCCCTAATATTAATATATTCCAAATACTATTCTAATATACCACATTGGGAGCATTTAGTCTTTGGAGGAGGGGATTCTGCAGCCTCCGTTGAACCTGCCATGATTCGCAGTAAGCTTAGGGCTTGAACGCCCTCGCCCAATATGAGCCATAACCAGTCTAAACTCGTAGGAACCCCTTTCATAAACCCCTAAAATTTTCCTCTTGATGATGCTTTTCCACCTTTGGCAACTGGTACTGGGTTTTTAGAAGGCGAGGGCACCGCCACAAAGGCTGGGCCGGAATCCTCGAACTCTGGCTCTTGAAGCCTGAGCCCGAAAGCCCTGATCCCTTACCCTTAACCGTACATCTTGAAGCCTGATAGGCTTCAGGGGTGAAGATTGCTGATTTCACTCGGGAGAATGGCTTGGAGGGTCTGATCTCACGTCAAAGGCTGGAAACAAAACTGGGGGCTCCAAGAATATGTGAGCTGTAGTCTAAGCTGCAAGAGTTTGGCAAGGATTCCATGGGTTTCCTACGATAGCGCTTATGAAGCGTGATAAAAGGGGCTCAGACTATAGCTCACGTAGAGTATCGCAGAACTTTTGGGATAGGACTATGGGCCATCTAAGCTCCATAAGCGTGGCTGCATAGCGGGATACATAAAGATCCCATTGGGGGGATTACTATGGGAAATATGAGAAGTTCAGACTATTGCTCATATATTTTCGACTGATGTCAAACTCATCCCTGATTCATCCCTGACTCATCCCTTGAAGAAGACCCCACACACGTAGCCATTTTGGCTCAAGGGCAAATTGTAGCAGCTATCTGTATGGATGCTCCCGACTTGTGCGGATCCTGCCGTCGTTGGGCCTTAGGATTGCGCAGAGATTTCTTGGGAGCTAGCGCGGTTTCTTGCGGCATTTGTCGATCTATCAGGGACATTCACGAAAAGATCCAAAATCCAATCTATACAGAGGAAGACGGCCGTGTCATTTGGAACCATTTGAGCCAACTTTCAACATTTCTTTTGGATTTGGAGAGACTCCGGGCGAAGAAGAGGGGCTTCGAGGAGCAGAACGACATAGGAATCAGGACCACAGGCGAAACAGACGTGGCATTACAAACTACTTCGGCAAAGGTGCGCCCGACCGCTCCTGCCGACGATTATTCCTATTATTCCGAGGAGGGAGAGGAAGAAGAGGAAAGGTCCCAGGATAACCCGGTGGACATCCCTGTTCTGCCAACTCCCCGGCAACCTCCTCGGCCTCCATCTCCTCCAGAGCGGCTCCCAAACAACACAGGTTCCCGTTTGACGAAATCAGGAAGGAAGAAAAAGAGGACAGGGGGAGGACAGAAGAGGAAGGATTGGTTGAAGAGCAAGATTCAGCAGAGGAGAGTGTACAAGGCTAACAGGCGTCGATGCTCAGATCTTCGAAGCCTGCCTTGAAGCGTCCAGGGGCAGCAGCTCCTGCCCGTGCGAGGGCAAAGGAAACTGCTTTACCCTCTAAGCCAGCATCTGCCTTGAAACCCATTCTGAGGAAGCCTAACTTGCGAAGATCGGGTAAGAGGGCAGAGCCTGCAGGCCCAATTCCCAATAAGGCACCTACCGACATCTTTCCCGAAGGGCCTGTTTGTGACTGTGCGGAGGCTTTGTTCAAGCCTGGCTTACACTGCCATTTCGTTGGGAGTCACCAGGGGAAGCCTTCAGAAGTTGCCTGTGAGGTCGAATCTCGGGAGACAGACGTGACAGGAACTTGGTTAAGATGTCAGCCGTTGGGGTCCCCTTCCGTTCCCCTGAAGGATTGGGTGGTGGCCCTTCAACACCAAGGGCGGCAACCAATCCTACATGTCCACCTGTGTCCCGCCAGGTGCGTTCCAGAAG